GTGGGAGTGTGTCTCATTGACGAGTTCGATAAGGTGAGTGACGTCGGAGGGGGAGGAGAGGTGGAGGTAAGAGGAGAGAGGAGAGTAGGGCAGTGACAAGCACGGGAGGTTGATGCGATCCGGCAGTGGCATTAACCGCTTGTCGCTTAGCGGTTTGAATCCAGCAGGGTGCCCTGGTTAATACTCCAGTGGTGGTGCCGTCTGTTTCAATCACAGTGAATGTAACGGTCTGTTAAAGGCTACGCGGGTGATCTTGGTCTTTGCAGATGACAGATCAGGACCGCACGAGCATCCACAGGCCATGGAGCAGCAGAGCATCTCAATCAGCAAGGCCGGCATCGTCACCTCGCTGCGCGCGCTCCATCATCGCCGCTGCCAACCCCCATCGTACAGCGCCTGCCCTCCCCTCTTTCTTTCCTTCTCCACCTCCTCACCCCGTCCTCGTCAACTGTCATCCTATGACTTTTAGGGTCGCATGACACCCGCGTCACCCGTGTCACGCTGTCCCCCTCCGTATGTGTGCGGTGCGAGTGCAGGAGGGCGCTACGACCCCTCGCTGACCTTTTCGGAGAACGTTGACCTCACGGAGCCCATCCTGTCTCGCTTCGACATCCTGTGTGTGTGCGCGACACCGTTGACCCCGTGCAGGTGAGTGGTGGGTGGGGGTGGCACTACGAAGTCGGTCACCCAAGTTCGATTCCCACTCACGGCCACCGACATCGGTGATCGCGAATATCTGCACCCGATCCTGGGCCGCCTCTAGGTCGACTCGGCCTTTAGGTGAGTGCGGCTTTGAAAGCTCGGCACCGGGGCGACGAATGTGGCCGCCCGTGGCGCTCGCCACACCACTGCCCGTCGTGCGCCACGTTGACCTCCTGACTCACAGCGGAGTCCGCACGCGCGTGTGTCGGGGATGCAGGACGAGATGCTGGCGCGCTTCGTGGTTTCCAGCCACGTGCGGCACCACCCCGGCGGACCCGAGCGCCGCGGCGAGAGGCCACCGGTGCCGGGCCGGCGCCGATGCCCAACTCGTACGGTGTGGAGCCCATCCCGCAGGAGCTGCTGCGCAAGTACGTGACCTACAGCAAGGAGAAGGTGCGCCCCAAGCTCAACCAGATGGACCAGGACAAGGTGGCGCGCATGTACAGCGAACTGCGCAAGGAGTCCATGGTGAGACTGGTGGGGGGGGGGGGGGGGGAGCGACCCACGCGTTGATTTGTTCAACTGCTTCTGCACCCGACACTCCACCATTCACCAATAAACAACCCCCTGCCCCCTCGAACCCCCTTCCCCACCCTGTCTACAGGCGACGGGTAGCATTCCCATCACGGTGCGGCACATCGAGTCGATGATCCGGCTGGCAGAGGCGCATGCGCGCCTGCACCTGCGCGACTTTGTGCTGGAGGAGGACGTGAACATGGCGATCCGCGTCGTGCTCGACAGCTTCATCGACACGCAGAAGTTCAGCGTGCGCAGCATGCGCAAGGTGGGAGCAGGGGCCACCGCATGGGAGTAGGTCCGGTGGGAACAGGGTAAGGGTGGGAGCAGAGTCCAGGTAGGGGCAGTTCCAGGTAGGGGCAGTGTCCAGGTAGGGCAGGGTCCGGGTGGGATGAATGGGAGCAGTGCTGTGACCGGTCGCCTGTCTCTGTCCACCTCTCCTTGTGTTGTCCACCTGTTGTAACCGCCGTGTGTCTCCGCGTATGTGTCCCCCGCGTGTTCCTGTGTATCCCCTCCCATGTCCCCCTGCATGTTCCCCTTGTCTTCACCTGTGCCCATGTGTGTTTACATGCTTTTCATGTATCCCGTGCGTGTGTCCCTCGCGCGTCCGTCACAGACATTCTCACGGTACCTGTCGTTCCGTCGGGACAACAATGAGCTGCTGCTCTTCATTCCTGAAGCAGCTCGTGTTCCGAGCAGCTGAGCTACCAGCGCAGCCGCTACGGCGCCACCGGGGTCGCCGGGGTCCGGCACGAGCGCGTCGAGGTGCCCGAGAAGGACCTCGCCGACCGGGTGAGCTCGCGAGGTCATCGGCGTCACAGTTAATGGGGTTCACGGGGTCAGACATTGCAGATTGTTAATGGAGAAGAAAAAAATATTCTGAGCCAACATAAATGGAATACAAATCAGAGACAGCCTGAAAGCAACAGGCCTGATCAACATTTATTTAAGTGCTTTTACTGTAAAGGAGGTCAGCTCGGACGAATTGCTTTCAAAATCCATTGATCGTAAAGTTCAGGTGACAGAAACGTCAGCTTAGGTTGGGAATGATTTCCGCATTGGTAATGCTCAGCAGGCTATTTCGGAGAGTAACCGACTATGATGATGCCACTACAATGTGGGTAACATTATATGAGCTGTGTAACAATGTCGATGTTACCGTGGCGAGGATGAGCGGCGCTCACCGTGGTTACCAAGTGGCAGTACCTAACCTGTGAGCCCCCCCTTTCCGCCCCCTCCCCCTTTCTGTCCCCCCCCCCACAGGCGAGGCAAATCAGCATCCACAGCCTCTCTGCGTTCTATGACAGCGACGTCTTCAAGAACAACCTCTTCTCTGTTGACCCGAGGCGCAAGCTCATCATCCAGCCACTCTGAGTGACACGGAGGGGACACGGAGGGGACACTGGGGGTGGGGGGGGGGGACACGGGGAACAGAGGGGTCCATGGTGTCCTGCGGACGAGGGACACGGGCCAGACACGGGGATCACTGTGTTTGCTGTGTGGCTGTCGTATTTTAAATTGAACAACTGCACAATCATAAGTGGATGTTAAATACATGTCCGGGAGCCAGAGTCTCCTCTGGAAAACTACGTTTGCGAAAATTCTCAGCACAGTAGAGTTTGAGAAATTCCAATCAACGCTCCCTTGGCGAATGGGCGCAGTGTTACTACGGGGTTAAGAGGGCACGGGACGCGTGTATTTGTGTGTGGCGGCTGCTGCTGCGGCGCTGGAGTTGTGTGTCGACGTCGCGAGGTTGAGATAAAGCTGCGTTTTCTCAATGGCCGAGTTGAGAGTGGATTTTGTCGGCTCCGCACGTGCAGCAGATGTCAAGGTTCACCTCCAACTTTTGCTGCAAGCTGCTCCCAGAGGCACGAGGGTGAGGGGCAGAGGTCGCAACCGGGGTACCCGATACCCGTACCCTACCCGATACTGGCTAACCCGGCCGGGTACGGGTAGCAGTTTGCGACCCTGGTGCGGCCAGGTACGGGTAGGCCGTGAGTCACTGGTGAGTAACGTTTGTCACTCATTTCGGGTAGGGAACGGGTACCCGTACCTGGCCAGGTACTGGTACGGGTACCCGTTTGCGACCCTGGGTGTGGCCGGGTACAGGTAAGGAATCAAAACCCGTTTGCGACCTCTGCCATGCACCCCTCCCGTGTCTGAACGCAGGGGTGGGCCTTGAACAGGCGGGGCTTGGGAGAGTAAATGGGCGGGGCATGGAGAGGGGCGGGTCTTACAGGGGTAATCGACTTAGCCGTGTGACTAGTGATAATTACATTTTTGTAGGAGCTTTTCATCAAAGATCTCAAAGGACTGTACAGAGCAGGAGCAGACACGGCATGAAAATAGAATTACATTTCAAGAATAGTTTACGAAATTAACTAAAATTGTAATAAGCGGAAACGTATAAATTGGTTTTAAGGCACATTTTTAAAATCTCTATCTCGTGGAAGAGCGTTCCATAGCCTGGGAGCTCCACGGGAAAAATCTCGGTCACCCAGAGACCGAAACCTCGACCCGGGAATGCAGAGAAGAGCTGCATCCCCACATCTTAGAGACCTTGAGGGGACATGGGTGCAGCATGTCAATGATGTAGGCTGCGGCAAGATGGTTCGCTGCTTTGTAACTTAATAGGATTTTAAACTGGTATGTGAAACTGGAAGCCAGTGCAGGGAGGCCAAAACTAGTTTAATATGCGGTGTTCTGGCTAACATTCTATCAGCCACATTTTGAACATGCGGCGAATTGATCACCACCTTATTAGCCACGCCAGGGAGTTAAGACATGACAATAGTCTATGTAAGATGAGATGAAAGCACAATAATACGTACACGTTTTTTTTATAGCGTCATTCATGCTAAGAGTCCCAGTAGCGCTGTGCCCGAGATGGGGCCACGGGCCAACTCGTGATACATTAAAAAAAAATCCTTTATATTAAGTTCACTTGCTTGCTTGCTTGCGCGCTTACGACCGTGCAAATCTATCGGTCGTGTTTTAACCCACTTCCCGTGATCCAATCGAGCTGACATTTTGCACACAGACTCGTGCGTGACAATTTATTTTCGTGAAAAAAAATGTCCATAACACTTTAGGTATTTTTTTATATGTAATTACCAATTGCTTAATGGTGGCAGGCAATCATCTGACCCATAAGGTGGCAGCCATCTCAAGCCAGAGGACGAGAGGACTCTAGCCGCCACGCATATTAAGGATTTATAGTGAAAAACTTTGTTTTTACGGGTTAATTTTTTCTTGGCTGAGGATGACGCAATCTGA